TCCCCTGGCTGTCCCCACTCTCCCCAGTGTCCCCGCTGTCCCCTGGCTGTCCCCAGTGTCCCCAATGTCCCCTGGCTGTCCCCAATGTCCCCTGGCTGTCCCCAGTGTCCCCAATGTCCCCTGGCTGTCCTCAGTGTCCCCAATGTCCCCAATGTCCCCAATGTCCCCGCTGTCCCCTGGCTGTCCCCAATGTCCCCTGGCTGTCCCCAATGTCCCCAATGTCCCCGCTGTCCCCTGGCTGTCCCCAGTGTCCCCAATGTCCCCTGTGTCCCCCCAACGTCCCCTGGCTGTCCCCAGTGTCCCCAATGTCCCCTGTGTCCCCCCAACGTCCCCTGGCTGTCCCCAGTGTCCCCAATGTCCCCTGTGTCCCCCCAACGTCCCCTGGCTGTCCCCAGTGTCCCCAATGTCCCCTGTGTCCCCCCAACGTCCCCTGGCTGTCCCCAGTGTCCCCGCTGTCCCCTGGCTGTCCCCAGTGTCCCCAATGTCCCCTGGCTGTCCCCAATGTCCCCTGGCTGTCCCCAGTGTCCCCAATGTCCCCTGGCTGTCCCCAATGTCCCCCCAATGTCCCCTGGCTGTCCCCAATGTCCCCTGGCTGTCCCCAATGTCCCCCCAATGTCCCCTGGCTGTCCCCAGGCCTTCCGGCAGCTCTCCCATCGCTTCCACGGGAAGGGCTCGGGGAAGATGAAGACGGAGAGGAGGATGAAGAAGTTGGATGAGGAGGCGGTGAGGGGGATTTGGGGGGATTTGGGGAATTTTGGGGGGAATTTGGGGCATTTTTAGGCATTTTTGGGCATTTTTGGGCAAATTTTGGGACTTTTTTTGGGGATTTTTTGGGGGATTTTTAGGACCCACCCCATGCTCTCATTGGGGTCTCCACTCACATTTTGGGGTCTCCTCTCCACTTTTGGGGTCTCCTCTCCCATTTTGGGGTCTCCACTCCCATTTTGGGGTCTCCTCTCCCATTTTGGGGTCCCTCGTGGCGCTGCTGAAGGTTTTGACCCCAATTTTGGGGTTCTTGGGACGTTTTTGAGGTCGTTGGTCCAAATTTTGGGATCCTCCAGCCTGATTTTGGGGTCCCCCGGAGGCTTTTGGGGTCCCCCCAGCTCCACTGGGGAATTCCAGCCCAATTTGGGGACCTGCAGCCCCAATTTTGGGGTCTCCCCTTGGTTTTGGGGTCTCCACTCCAATTTTGGGGTCCCCACTACCCCGGGAATAGGATCAGAGGATTCCTTTGGGATTTTGGGGTTTTTCCCAGGATTTTTTTTTGGGAATTCCCAGAGTTTTTGTGCTCGCCCTGATTTTGGGGTCCCCCTCTGATTTTGGGGTGCAGCCACCAAAGAAGAGGAGCCCCAATGTCCCCCCAATGTCCCCCCAGTGCCACCCTGGGGACGGCAGCCCCCAAAACTCGGGGGGTTCCCTTTGGGATTTTGGGAATTTTTTGGGGCTGTTCCCAGGTTTTTTGGGGTGGCCCTGATTTTGGGGTCCCCCTCTGATTATGGGGTGCAGCCACCAAAGAAGGGGAGCCCCAATGTCCCCCAGTGTCCCCCCAGTGCCACCCTGGGGACGGCAGCCCCCAAAACTCGGGGGGTTCCCTTTGGGATTTCGGGGATTCTCGGGGTTTTTTCGGGGCCGTTCCCGGGTTTTTTGGGGTGGCCCTGATTTTGGGGTCCCCCTCTGATTATGGGGTGCAGCCACCAAAGAAGGGGAGCCCCAATGTCCCCCAGTGTCCCCCCAGTGCCACCCTGGGGACGGCAGCCCCCAAAACTCGGGGGGTTCCCTTTGGGATTTCGGGGATTCTCGGGGTTTTTTCGGGGCCGTTCCCGGGGCTTTTGGGGTCCCCCTGATTTGGGGGTCCCCCCTCGTTTTTGGGGCGCAGCTGCTGAAGAAGATGAGCTCCAGTGACACCCCCCTGGGCACGGTGGCGCTGCTGCAGGAGAAGCAGCGCGCGCAGAAGACGCCGTACATCGTCCTGAGCGGCTCCGGCAAGAGCATGAACGCGTGAGCCGCAAACTGGGGGGGACTGGGAGGAACTGGGGGGGACTGGGAGGAACTGGAGGGGACTGGGGGATGGACTGGGAGCACTGGGATGGACTGGGATGGACTGGGAGCACTGGGCCGCTGACCCCTCCCCCCTTTCCCTTGCAGGAACACCATCACCAAGTGAGGGGACACCTGGGGACCCCTTGGGGACATTGCTGGACACCCTGGGGACACTTTGGGACTCCTCAGGACAGCCCTGGCTGGGGACACCCCTGGGGACATCCCTGGAACCCTGGGGACACCCTGGGGACACCCTGGGGACACCCCTGTCCCCCTCCCCGCCCCTGGGGACAATAAAAGCCTCCGGGAGTCACTCTGTGTCACCGGTGTCACCGCAGGGGGAGGGGACACACAGGAGCCACCCCGGTGCCACCAGCGTCCTTTATTGGGGAGCGTCCCCCCCCCGCCCCGTGTCCCCCCTGTCCCCAGTGTCCTTGGGCTGCGGGGCCTCTGTCCCCACGCTGTCACTCGTGTCCCCCGTGTGTCCCCGGCTGCCGCGCTCCGAGCTGTCCCCGGTGTCCCCATCGTTGTCCCCGGTGTCCCCATCGTTGTCCTGGGTGTCCCCATCGTTGTCCCCGGTGTCCCCATCGTCCCCTTCGCTGTCCTGGGTGTCCTCGTTGTCCTCCTCATCATCCTCGTCGCTGTCCCCGTCGCTGTCCCCCGTGTCCTCCTCGCTGTCCCCAGAGCTGTCCCCGGTGTCCCCAGAGGTCCCCCCCCGGTTGGTGTTGACAAAGAGCCCCTGGTTGTCACTGGGGGGGTCACACGGGGGGGTCACGGTGTCCCCAAAGTGCCACCGTGTCCCCAAAGTGCCACCGTGTCCCCAAAGGGTGGCACCGTGTCCCCAAAGTGCCATCGTGTCCCCAAAGTGACACCGTGTCCCCAAAGGGTGACACCGTGTCCCCAAGTGTCCCCTTGACCCCCCCATTCTGAGCCCCCTCCCCATTATTGCCCCCATTAATGACCCTAATTAACTCCCCCAATTATCACCCCCCCATTATAACCCCCCCAATTATCACCTCCAATTAATGCCCCCCAATTAACCCCCCCAATTACCACCCCCCAATTAAGGTCCCGTTATTGTCACCATTAATGACCCCAATTATCACACCCCCAATTATCACCTCGAATTAACCCCTCCAATTACCACCCCCCAATTAAATTGTTATTGTCCTCATTAATAAACCCCAATTAACATGTCCATTACCCCAAATTAATTAAGACAGTTATTACCTCCACTTAACACCTCCAATATCCCAAGTTAATTAAGATCCCATCGTTACCCCAAATTAACAGCTCCATTACCCCAAATTAATTAAGATCCCATTATTGTCCCCCAATTAATGCCGATTATCACTCCCCAATTAACACCTCCATTAACCCCAATTAATTAAAATCCCATTATTACCCCTTAATTAATCCCCATTACCATCCCCCAATTAACACCACCTCCTTGCCCCCAATTATCAAATTAAAATCAAATTAAACCAAATCCCAATTAACCCAAATCACTTCACACCCCCATTACCACTCCCCAATTAATTAATTACCCCTAATTAACTCACCCCTCCCGTGGGTTTTTCCTCTCCAGGGGCGCGAAGGCCTCGGGCCTGGGGGGGAGGGGCGGTCACAGGGGGGATTTTGGGGGGGATTTGGGGGATTTTGGGGTTTTTTTGGGGGTTTGGGGCATTTTGAGGTGATTTAGGGGGGTCTAGGGTGGTTTTGGGGCATTTTGGGGTGGTTTGGAAGTTTTTTTGGAGTTTGGGGGTGTTTTGGGGGTTTTTTTGGGGGGTTTTCTTTGAGTATGGGGTATTTTGGGGGCGTTTTTGGGGTATTTTGGGGTTTGGGGGGTATTTTTGGGGCAGTTTTGGGGTATTTTGGGGTTTGGGGGGTATTTTTGGGGCAGTTTTGGGGTATTTTGGGGTTTGGGGGGTATTTTTGGGGCATTTTTTGGGGTATTTTGGGGGTATTTTAGGGTTTGGGGGGTATTTTTGGGCAGTTTTGGGGTATTTTAGGGTTTTGGGGGGTATTTTTGGGGCATTTTGGGGTGTTTTTGGGGTATTTTAGGGTTTGGGGGAGTATTTTGGGGCAGTTTTGGGGTATTTTAGGGTTTGGGGGAGTATTTTGGGGCAGTTTTGGGGTATTTTAGGGTTTGGGGGAGTATTTTGGGGCGTTTTTGGGGTATTTTGGGTATTTTGGGGTATTTTGGGGTTTGGGGGGTATTTTTGGGGGGATTTTGGGGTATTTTAGGGCGTTTTTGGGTTTTTGGGCCGTACCAGAGCCCCTGGCGCTGCAGCGAGCGCACGTGGGGCGGGAGCAGCACCAGGGAGATCTCAGCCTTGACCTTGGAGCCCTCCAGGATGGGGTCGACCAGCAGGAAATCACCTGGGGGGACAAAGGGGACACTGAGGGGACACTGAGGGACATTGGGGACATTGGGGACACTGAGGGGACATTGGGGACACTGAGGGGACAGTGGGGACACACTGGGGACACTGAGGGACTGCAGCATGGGATCGACCAGCAGGAAATCACCTGGGGACAGTGGGGACACTGAGGGGACACTGAGGGACACCAGGGGACAGTGGGGACACTGAGGGGACATTGGGGACACTGAGGGACAGCAGCATGGGATCAACCAGCAGGAAATCACCTGGGGACAACGGGGACATTGGGGACACTGAGGGGACATTGGGGACATTGGGGGACACCGAGGGACAGCGGGATGGGACTGACCAGCAGGAAATCACCTGGGGGAAATTGGGGACACTGAGGGACAGGGGGGTCATCAGGAGACACTGAGGGGACACCGGGGGACAGACGGACACAGGGACAGGGACAGTGTCCGGGGTGGGGAGGGGGCGGCAGGGGGACAGTGGGGGAGGACACAGCAGCGCCAGGGTGACAATGGCCCGGTGACAAAAACCAGCCTGGTGACAATGACAAGGAGGCAGTGACCCGGTGCCCTGGTGACAATGGCGCAGTGACAATACCCTGGTGGCAGCGGCAGGGTGACAATGACAAAGTGACAATGCCACAGGACAGTGCCAAGATGGCAATGACACGGTGACAATGACAGGGTGATGACGCCACAGGACAGCGGCAGGGTGACAGTGACAAGGTGACACAGGACAATGACAGGGTGGCAATAGGAGGGTGACACTGACAGGGTGACAATGACAGGACAGCGACACAGAACAGTGCCAGGGTGGCACAGGGGCAGTGACAATGACACAGGACAGTGACAAGGTAACAGTGACAGGGTGACACAGGACAATGACAGGGTGGCAATGGCAGAGTATAGTGACAGGGTGACAATGGTAGGGTGACAGTGACACACGACAGCGACAGGGTGGCACAGGGGCAGTGACAAGGTGACAGTGACATCGGTGGTGGCAGTGTCACCTCTCTTGATCCAGATGTGGCTCCGGAAGCGCGGGGGCAGTGACAGGGTGACAATGACAGGGTGACAATGACACAGGACAGTCACACAGTGGCAGTGTCACCTCTCTTGATCCAGATGTGTCTCCGGAAGCGCGGGGGCAGTGACAGGGTGACAATGACACAGGGGCAGTGACAGAGTGACACAGTGACAGGGTGGCAGTGTCACCTCTCTTGATCCAGATGTGTCTCTGGAAGCGCGGTGGCAGTGACACGGTCACAGTGACACAGTGAAACAGTGACAGTGGCAGTGACAGGGTGACAATGACAGAGCGACAATGACACAGAGCAGTGGAAAGTGGGGGGACATCGGGGACATTGGGGACACTGGGGACACCGAGGGGACATTGGGGACACAGGGGACAGTGGGGACATCAGGGGGACACTGGGGACAGTGGGGACACTGAGGGGACATTGGGGACACTGAGGGACAGCAGCATGGGATCAACCAGCAGGAAATCACCTGGGGACAACGGGGACATTGGGGACACTGAGGGGACATTGGGGACATTGGGGGACACCGAGGGACAGCGGGATGGGACTGACCAGCAGGAAATCACCTGGGGGAAATTGGGGACACTGAGGGACAGGGGGGTCATCAGGAGACACTGAGGGGACACCGGGGGACAGACGGACACAGGGACAGGGACAGTGTCCGGGGTGGGGAGGGGGCGGCAGGGGGACAGTGGGGGAGGACACAGCAGCGCCAGGGTGACAATGGCCCGGTGACAAAAACCAGCCTGGTGACAATGACAAGGAGGCAGTGACCCGGTGCCCTGGTGACAATGGCGCAGTGACAATACCCTGGTGGCAGCGGCAGGGTGACAATGACAAAGTGACAATGCCACAGGACAGTGCCAAGATGGCAATGACACGGTGACAATGACAGGGTGATGACGCCACAGGACAGCGGCAGGGTGACAGTGACAAGGTGACACAGGACAATGACAGGGTGGCAATAGGAGGGTGACACTGACAGGGTGACAGTGACAGGACAGCGACACAGAACAGTGCCAGGGTGGCACAGGGGCAGTGACAATGACACAGGACAGTGACAGGGTAACAGTGACACAGTGACAATGACAGGGTGGCAATGGCAGAGTATAGTGACAGGGTGACAATGGTAGGGTGACAGTGACACACGACAGCGACAGGGTGGCACAGGGGCAGTGACAAGGTGACAGTGACATCGGTGGTGGCAGTGTCACCTCTCTTGATCCAGATGTGTCTCCGGAAGCGCGGGGGCAGTGACAGGGTGACAGTGACAGGGTGACAATGACAGGGTGGCAATAGGAGGGTGACACTGACAGGGTGACAATGACAGGACAGCGACACAGAACAGTGCCAGGGTGGCACAGGGGCAGTGACAATGACACAGGACAGTGACAAGGTAACAGTGACAGGGTGACACAGGACAATGACAGGGTGGCAATGGCAGAGTATAGTGACAGGGTGACAATGGTAGGGTGACAGTGACACACGACAGCGACAGGGTGGCACAGGGGCAGTGACAAGGTGACAGTGACATCGGTGGTGGCAGTGTCACCTCTCTTGATCCAGATGTGTCTCTGGAAGCGCGGTGGCAGTGACACGGTCACAGTGACACAGTGACAGGGTGGCAGTGTCACCTCTCTTGATCCAGATGCACAGGGGCAGTGACAGAGTGACACAGTGACAGGGTGGCAGTGTCACCTCTCTTGATCCAGATGTGTCTCTGGAAGCGCGGTGGCAGTGACACGGTCACAGTGACACAGTGACACAGTGACATGACAGTGACACAGTCAGTGACACAGGACAGGGACAGGGTGACAGTGTGACACATTAACAGTGACAGTGGCAGTGCCAAGGTGACAATGACAAGACAGCAACACAGAGCAGTGCCACAGTGGCACAGGGGCAGTGACAGGGACACAGTGACATCGGTGGTGGCAGTGTCACCTCTCTTGATCCAGATGTGTCTCTGGAAGCGCGGTGGCAGTGACACGGTCACAGTGACACAGTGACACAGTGACAGTGGCAGTGACAGGGTGACAATGACAGAGCGACAATGACACAGAGCAGTGCCAGGGTGGCACAGGGGCAGTGACCATGACACAAGACAGTGACACAGGACAGGGACAGGGTGACAGTGACACATTGAGAGTGACAGCGACGCAGTGACATCGGTGGTGGCAGTGTCACCTCCCTTGATCCAGATGTGTCTCCGGAAGCGCGGGGGCAGTGACAGGGTGACAATGACAGGGTGACAGTGACACAGGACAGGGACAGGGTGGCACAGTGACAGTGACAGGGTGGCACAGGGGCAGTGACAATGACACAGGACAGTCACACAGTGGCAGTGTCACCTCTCTTGATCCAGATGTGTCTCCGGAAGCGCGGGGGCATGCTGGCCAGGAACCGCGTCCCCTCCGCCGTCTCCACCTCGTGCAGGTTGTTCCCCGGTGTCCCCAACACCTGGGGACAGGCGGGGTCACCGTCCCCCCTGTGTCCCCTCGTGTCCCCCCAGAGCTGGGGACACCCACAGTGCCTGTCCTTCTGTCCCCTCCCTCTGTCCCCCCTAACCCTAACCGTTGTCCCCAGGGCCAGGTCTGCGTGTCCCCTTGTCACCGCTGTCCCCGGCTGTCCCTTCTGTGTCCCCCTGTCCCACAGCTCTGCCCCGCAATGTCCCCTCGGAATCCCACCGGGACCCCCCGGGACCCCCGGCCCCGCCCCCACCGCGCGCCGCGCGCTCACCTGCGGCGGCACTTCCGGGTAGAGCGGCGGCGGAGGCGACGTCACTTCCGGAAGGGGGGGGGGAAATGAGGCCACGCCTCCTGAAGGCGGGGTAAACAACAAAGCCCGCCCACAAAAGGGGCGGGGCTAATCCGGTCGGATGTGGGCGTGGCCTAAAGGAAGGCGCGCTCGCGAGAAATGAATGGCCGCGTTTGGGGCGGGGCCAGGAAAGAGGGAGAGGGCGGGACTTTCACCTGCATAATAACGAGGGGTATGCAAATGAGGGGCTGGATCACGAAGGGGCTCATGCAAATCAGCTGAGATTCCGGTGTGGTGTAAATAAGGGCTGATTTGGGGCGGTGCCATGCAGAAAATATGGGCGGAGCTATGCAAATGAGACTATGCGATTTGGCGGGCAGCGGGGTGGGCGTTTACATGCTAATGAGGAGGGATAGTGGATCCTGTGACGTCATTGCAACAGAGCTTAGGTCGCCTCCGTGACGTCAGCCCGTCGCCGTGACGTCACGTCATACATATTACCCCTAATACCCGCGCGAGCCCCGCCCACTTAACCTCGTGACGTCAGCACGTACGGCGCGACCCCGCGCTCTCTGATTGGCTGCGACGCGCTCGGTGGCGGCCGGGCCAAGATGGCGGCGGAGCGCGCGGACGCGGCGGCGGCGGCGGCCGGGACCGGGGAGCCCCTCAGGGACTCGCGAGCCCCCGAGCGCTCCCCCTACGCGGGATGGGCCCACCCCGAGCTCCAGGCCACGCTCGCCGGCATCGGAGCCCCCGCGCAGGGTGCGGGGAGCGGGGATGGATCCGTGAGGGGAGCGGGGATGGATCCGTGAGGGGAACGGGAGATGATCTGAGGGGTGAGCGGGAAACTGGGGGGGGTCGGGGTCAGCTGAGGGGATTTGGGGGAGATCTGAGGGATAGGAGGGGAAATTTTGGTTTTGTGGGGTCACTTGAGGGGAGATCTGAGGGGAAAGGGGGGAATTTGGGGGTCTCAGAGTCACTTGAAGGGAGATCTGCGAGGTAGGAGGGAAATTTGTGGGGGGTCTCGGGGTTTTTGGGGTCACCTGAGGGGATTTGGGGGATTTTTGTGGTTCCCTGGGGGGATTTGGGAGTCCTGAGGGGGGTTTTGGGGGTCCCTGGGTGGGGAATTTTTGGACTGCTCAGGGGTTTTGAGGGTCCATGGTGGGGGCAGAGGAATTTGGGGGGGTTCTGGGGCAGAATTTGGGGGTCCCTGACCCCCCCCTTTCCCCCCAGGGACCCGTGAGGAGCTGCTGGAGCGGCTCCAGGCCTACACCCTGCAGGTGAGACCCCCAAAACGGGGGACCCCAAATTCTCCCCCTCTTGAGTCCCTCTGAGGAGGGGGAATTCATTTAGGGGGGGGGTTAATATGATTTGGGGGTGGGGATTATTGTGATTTTGAGGGGTTAAATGTGATTTTTGGGGAGATTAATGGGAATTTTAGGGGTTTTAAGGTGATATTGGAGGAGTTTGATGGGGTTTTGGGGGTTTTAATGGGATTTTGGGGGGGCTGAATGGAATTTTGGGGGATGGAATGTGATTTTTGGGGCAGTTTAAGGGGATTTTTGGGGGATTTAATGGGATTTTTGGGGCAGTTTAAGGGGGTTTTTGGGGATTTTATGGGATTTGGGGGAGTAACGTGGTTTTTGGTGAGTTCAATGTAATTTTTGGGGCGTTTATTGTGATTTTGGGGAGATTTAATGTGGTTTTGGGAGGATTTAATGTGATTTTGGGGGGATTTAGTGAGATTTTGGGGGGAGTAACATGGTTTGGGTGGGTTAATGTGATTTTTGGGGGGTTCAATTTGATTTTTGGGGGGGGGGGGTCCGGGGGGCCTCAGGGGATTTTGGTCAGGAGTTTCCGACCCCTCCCACCACTGAACGCTGAGGGATAAAATTTTGGGGTGGGGGCGTCCCAGGTGGCCCCCCCTGACCCCTTCTGCCCCTCGCCAGCTGCCCCCAGCGCTGCCCCTGCAGCACCCCCTGGTGCCCCCCCCTCCCCCGCCGGGGCTGGGGCTCGGCTTCGGGCTGGGGGGGCCCGTGGGGGGGGTCCCGGTGCCGCCGCCGCCCCCCCCCGCGGGGCTCTCCGAGGAGGAGCGGCTGACGCTGGCCCAGCAGCAGGCGGCCATGCTGCTGCAGGAGGAGCGGGCGCAGGTCCGGGGGGGTTTTGGGGTGGGGGGCACCTT